TTGATTGGGAGTTGATTTTGTTGATATGGGGCTCGGATTGCGATTCCGAGAGTTGTATTAGCTCTTCTATGTCATTTGAGACTTGCATGCAAAATTTGACGTCATTTCGGGTTGATTTGATATGTTTCGGCGCGAGTTGTAGAAGCTGGAAGTTCATTAAGTTCGATTTGAGGTGCGATTCGTAGTTTTGATATTGTTTAATGTGATTTGAGGCCTCGAGTAGGTCCACATTATGTTTTGAGACTTATTGGTATGTTCGAACGGGGTCCCTAGGGGCTCGGGTGAGTTTCGAATAGGTTTGGGTTGTGTTGCGCTCGTTTTTATGTTTCGACTTCGTTTCTTCAAGAATAAATGGTACCTCATTAAATAAATGAACTCCAATTTCTATTTTGATTGAAGTATTAGATCTGTATCGTAATTACAGAGTCATAGCAAAAGGAATCATCGAATTTGGACATCGTATGAGAAAGTTATGCTCAATTTAGTGTCGGAGAAGAGAGCTGGTGCTGGTGCTTCGCAGATGCAAAGTTGGGCCCGTATCTGCAACTCCACAGGTGCAAAAAAATGGTCTGCAAAAGTGAAAATGGCAGCTGAAAATGCGCAGGTGTGGATAGTTTTGTCGCAAAAGCGAAAATCCCTGAGCATAAAAAATCAGACCGCATTATTTTTGTATTTTGAGCATATCTTGAGTTCAAGAGCTCCGATTGAGGTGATGTTCGCGTTGTTCTTCTCGAATTTTCATGGGATTCAGTATATAACTATAATTTTTGTATTTTAATATGATTAAAGAAGTTCATTTTCGAATTAATCCATGTTTTGATTGTAGAATTGAGGGTTTTTATCAAAATAAAATTCTAAAGAGAATAATTGGGTTTTGAACATCAATTCGGAGTTGGAATTGGATGAAATTTATATGGTTGGACTCCTAATTGAATGGGTGTTCGGATTTTATAAATTTTGTCGAGTATCGAGGTGCGTGTCCGGGGTTTAATTTTGGGTTGACTGTTTAGTTTTTGTTAAAGATTGAATCTATATTATCCGGAATCGTTTCCTTTGAGTTTTATTTATGATTTGAAATTATTTTTGTTAGATTTGAGCCGTCCAAAGGTTGTTTCACTCGAGAAGCTCATTTTAGAGTCTTGCTTCTTTGAGGTAAGTATCTTACTTAATTTTGTATGGAGAAAATTATCCCTTAGGATTTGAGTCATTTGTGCTAATTGTGTCATGTGAAGGCCATGTACGCGAGGTGACGAGTACGTACTCGGGCTTATTTGTAGAAATTTGACCATTTAGGACTCTTAGGTTCTTATGTTAATTAGATGTGAAGCTATTGTTGCATGTTAAATCCCCCATTTACTAAATTTACCCTTACATGTCTTATTTGGAATTAATTGATTTATGTTTTACCCTTATTGCCAATTAAACTCTTATGTGCCTTAATTGAAGATGTTACCTCTTTTATTGCTATATTATCTTTTTTGTAATTGTTTATCCTTAATTGAAGTTATTATTATCCTTTCTGTAATTGCTTATCCTTAATTGAAGTCATTATTATCTTTTCCATAATTGCTTATCCTTAATTGAATTTATTAGTATCTTTTCCGTAATTTCTCAACCTTAATTGAAATTTTGTTATCCCTTTCATTATTGACTTATCCTTACTTTAGAATCATTGATTCATGTTATCTCTCTTACCGTCGAGTTGCACTTATGTAGAAATCATTGTTGCATGCTATCTCTCCCCTTGTTGAGTTATTATTGTTGAAACCATTATTCTCTGTTGTCTCTTTCACTATGAGCTCGTTCGTCCGTTTCTTTGTGTTCTGAAGTTCTTGAGTTGATTTACTTGTCGTATTCTCGTGTTATTGTTATTGTTGTTGTTGTTGTTGATGTTGTGCCCAGTATTGTTGAGCCGATGACTATGTATGGTTGTGGTATTAAAACTGTTTTGAGGAAATGTTGTGGCATATATGTACATATTGTGAAAGTCATTTTATTCTGTTGTTATGTTTTGGCACACGTGGGGGTGTTCGCACGTGAGTTATTCGTGCTATTGTACTATTAATATTTGCACATGCGATGTGACAAAGCGGGCTATATATGTGGGTTTACACATGTGTCGAGACAAGGTGAGAATATTATTATACGCGTACGGCGAGACAAGGCGGAAATTTACTTTATTATTGCGCACGTGGCATGACAAGGTGAGCTATGTCAGGGAATGATTTGTGATGAGTTGTGATGGTCTGGGAGCATTGTTATTATTGTTATTTGTGTAGTGGTGTGCCTACCCTGTGTGAGTTATACCATGTATATTTTATGGTGATCGTTTCTTTTGTGCCATTCATTGTCTCTAATCTTACTTGTTGACTTGAATTGTGGTAGAACACTTTCACAAGTATACACGTAAATAAATCACCCATATCGGTTAATAAGATGAATCCTGATCTTATCGACCATTTACATGTACTCCCTTGTACTTGCCTTTTGTGTGAGAGTTATACTGTTGGTATGTGAATTGTTCGTGATGTCATGAGTCATTGTTATTGTTAGCACGTGAGTGCTCCATGCAGATATTAGATATTGTGACTCTCTTGGCACGTGAGTCGTCCGTACGGTTATGAATTTGTAATGTGGGCACAAGAGGCCAAGTGATTAAGGTTTAAAAATTGGGACCCATAATTTGTGATTATAAGGTTTGGTACATCGTGGAAAATCCTGAATAGATCTAGTGTAAAAGTGGTTGTTCTTGTTGAGTTGTTACTCGTTTTACTTTACTTGGTTTCATCAGACTTAGACTGTGTCCAGCAGCTTACTCTACATCATTACTATCTGTTTGCTTCTTGTTGCTAATTGTTGTTTCTAGTATTTCATTGCGAGTATTGTTTTGTCTTCCTTACCATGCTTAGCTTTATATTAACATTGTTTTCCCGTTAGTTCACCTTCATACTTGTTCAGGTTGTTTAGTGCAGTAGGTGTCTTGACTGTCCCTCATCACTACTCCACCGAGGTTAGTCTTGATACTTACTAGGTATCGCTGTAGTGTACTCATGCTACGCTTTCTGCACATTTTTGTGCAGATCCAGGTATTCCGGAGTTGGTTGATCAATAGCTAGTTATTCGGGTTTCGTTGTGTAGACTCAAGGTAAACCTGATGTCACGTTTGCAGACCTCGGAGTCACCTTCTGATATTGTTGTACTGTTTATTTCTATTCTGAAACATTTGTATTTAGGAATTTTTCTAGCAAACTCGGTAGAACTTACGACTTGTACTACCAGTTTTGGGATTGTTGGCTTGTATGAAAATTTCCATATCGAAATTCATAGTTGTTGGTTAAATTTTGCTATTAATTCAGTAAGTTTTAGGATTACCTAATCTTAGAGACTAGATGTCGTTACAACATCCTACGGAGGAAAATTAGAATCGTAACATTATATTATTTTATGAAATATTAAAAATTAAATATTCATGGGATTTATGCCCGTGCTTCGGGACTTACGCCGCCTCCACCTTCTAAAACACTGACACAAAGAGATAGACATTTATATTTTGCACAAATTAGAAAAAAGATCGCAATTTGCTAAAGATATGGACACGTCAAATTGTAAATTTATCTCGTGTCTTAACCAATCTACTCAAGATTCCATTCGTGCATTCTGGGTGGTTTTGTAATTTGATTCATCGTTTGGATATATATTGATATGAGACTGTACGAACGAAAGGGGTAGTTATTTCAGGAAGAAAGAAAAAGAGAAGCCTGGTCTCTTTAGCGTAGGGTGTTCGTCGGTCGTTATGGTACAATATTTAGATATTTCGGTTCGGCATTTTCAGTATTTGATTTCTTAAAATCCTATATTAATACCGTACCTAATTAAATTCGGTATGGTTACTAACTAGTGCATAGAGCCATAGACTCTAATATTTTTAATTAAAATACTCAAAAATACAAAACTGAAAATGTTTGTTGACAAAAATTTTGTCCAAAACTAGCAAATATCGACCCAAATAGAGAAAATCGTACATAAAAGAATATTTTATCATTAGCGATGTCTTGTTACTTGTTTAGAGTTAATTGATGAACTTAGAGAATAAAGAAAAGTAAAATTTTAGATTTTTTATATTTGTGTTATAATTGATAATATATGTTTTGCGTAATATAATATATATTTTGGTACAATATTAGTATTTTATTTTAAAATACCAAATATCATGCCTAATACCAATTTTTTTTAAAAACTTAAACCAAATACCATACTAACTATTAAAATACCGTATACCAAATACCAAAATTTTCGATTTCGATACAGTAATTCGCTATTTACCAAATTATGCACCGCCCTACTTTAGTGTGAACGGGAAGTCGTATAATTTATAAAACGTAATCAACGAAGATTCAGTCAATGTGCGGTGATGTAAGAAACAATTCCAAGTCAACTCGCTTTGACGGATTCTCAATTTATTCCCAAAACAAAAAATAAGTCGTGTGAACGTTTGACCTCCCTGCTTTCTCATCAGCTCCAACTTTTCGTTCAATATCCAAGGTATCACAATAAAAAAATGGAGTATTGTACTTATTCTACCTAGGTAATTTCCTTTCATTTAAGTCAGAATCGGATTGAAAATTTTAATTTTATGTGTTTAGGACTTATATTTCAACTGCTGAAACTATTATCTTATTTGAGTTATGGGTTTATAGTTCAATACTTTCAACAACACTAATGGGTTTTATTTAGATAAATTCCTATCTAAACCAAAAGCTATAGAGTTCAAATGAACCCACACCTTGACTACCAGATACACCCCTGATTCTAGGTGGGTAAAATCAACAAAGAAATGTACATTAAATTAAAAGATTTTAAAACCTGTGTCGAGCTCTCGAGACGCATTGCTGATTTTCCTTTCTTTCATTTTGTTCAACTACTCGTCTCTTCCAAAAGAGTGTTACATATAGTTTATATCAACTAAAAGGCACAACTGACAAGGAGGGATGAACTTGCCTTTTTAGGCTTTCATACGCCCTTCTGTTATAACATCGTTTTGATCAACTAATCTTGCAAAGACATTCTACCTAATTTTAGGGCATTTCTCAATGGTCATAATTAAAGGTAGTTGATAGTTTTGGCATAATGCTCTCTTTTTTTCAACTAATTTAAATAACCTTTACCATTTAATACATAGAAGTTAAATTCTTAGAACAAATTGAATTGAATTGAATTGAATGCCAGAGAAGTGGCAAAAAAGTAGAGAAATTAACCAAGTTGGCGAAATTTGTCATGTAGCTGCTGTTGCCTGCCGCGTCCTATTTTTGAATATCTGCTCCCTCGCTCCTTCCCACCGTCCATACAAGACGCCCACATCTCACCTTATAAACGTGAATCCCCCGCCATTCACTCTCTACAGTTTCTGCACAGAACTCCACACTTTGAACCTCGGGACATACCACTGTACCTAAAATTTCTTCATATATATATATTTAAGGGATACTTCCATTTCTTGTACGTATCTGGAACTAAGCGATTGGAAAGTCACAATGTCGGTGACGTCGAGAATGCCGGAGCTCCAAATGCACAAGAAATGGAAAGATAGAGAAATCAGTCCTGAACGCACTAAAGTTTGGACTGAACCTTCTAACCATAAGCTCAAATCTGACCGCAAATTACCGGTTGTTTACTATATCTCCAGAAATGGCCAACTTGAACATCCCCATTTCATGGAAGTTCCTCTTTCCTCTCCTCATGGTCTTTATCTCAGAGGTACGAATATTTCCATACCTAACACAATTCACATAGCGTGTGTTCATATGATTTCACATGTTCTGAACTTACTTTTTTGGTTGACATTTAATTCAGATGTGATCAACCGCTTGAATTGTCTTCGTGGAAAAGGCATGGCCTCTATGTATTCCTGGTCTGCTAAAAGGTGAATCATTTTTCATATACCAATTAATTTTCATATCTGTTAACACCGTTTTTATTCATAGAGCTGAAATGAATTTTGTCTTGCTTTTTTTGGGCGATTCAGAAGTTACAGAAACGGATTCGTGTGGCAGGATTTGACGGAGCATGATTTTATATACCCAGCACAGGGTCAAGAGTACGTTCTGAAAGGATCACAGCTTCTCGATAGCACATTGCCTTCACAACCCGACGAAATTGCATGTTCTGGTTTGAGAAATCCGGTACCCGAAGTACGGAAAATCAGCGAAGATCATGAGTTTCCGGTAATCCCAAGGCGCCGGAACCAGTCCTGGACTTCCTCCGATTTCCACGAATACAGAGTGTACAAGGCAGAGTCTACCGGCGAATTGATCGGAAGAGCCGCCAGCGACGCGTCGACTCAGACAGACGATCGTCGCCGCCGGCGAAGAGCAATGCGAATTGTCGAAGAAGAAGACGAAGAGTTGAGAGAAGACCGGACCGTTGAACCGGACGTGGATGAAAAGAATAAAAAACGGTCGATAGAGCTGAACAGAGGTGAAATTTCACCACCACAGTCGGATTCAAGCTCTGAAACGCTAGAGACATTGATGAGAGCAGACGGGAGAGTGATCTTACGGCCAGATACAATCAGCGAAGATCCAACGGTTAATATTCAATCAAGCGGAAAGAGTGGTAAAGCATCTTCCATGCTGAAGCAATTACTATCTTGGGGTTCCATGCCTTCCAAGTGTGGGCCCAGTTATGGGAAAGAAAATCGATTTTCCATAATTTCACAACATAAATCGCGGCTGCCACGTGTCAGAGGCTCCAATCAAGTGGAGAAGGATGTAGAGAGTCCAATAGTGGAATATCATGAAAGTGAAGAGATAATTAAGCTGGAGGATAAAGAGTACTTTAGTGGGAGTTTAATAGAGGTAAAGAAGGAGAAAATTCCTGTTCTAAAGAGATCGGCTTCATACAATGTGGAAAGGTGAGTGCTACCTCTTACTTACTCTATAGTACTATTGAACCTTTTGTTAATATGTTTCTTTATTCAAATTGTAAAAATTTATGCTGAATCATTTCTCCTTTCTTTGTTTATTTGTACATACTATGTTGCTTCGAGTTAAACAATTTACGTATGAGAACACTTATGCTTCAATTCCAAATAATACGTTATTAGAAAATATTTTAGAAGTTAAAGCTATTACTCATACAATGGAGACATCTTATTCCCATAGCATTAACGCGGATATTTATTAGTACATATTTAGTGGGCCTTTGGACATAAGAATTGTAAAATTCTAAAAAAAAGTGAAACAAAAATTTCAAGTGAAAATGATATTTGAAAATTAGAGTTATGCTTGGACGTGAATATACTTTTGGGTTGTTTTTTAAAAGATCTGAGTGAAAATTTTGAAAAACAGCTTTTTGGAGTTTTTTAAATTTTCAAAAAATTCCAAAATGTATCGAATTGAAAATTTTATAAACAAACCTGATTTTGGAAAAAACTGAAAATATTTCTTAAAAAGGAAAAAGTTTCTTATTTAGTAGGCTCGTTGCAAGAGATTAGAGAATATGGGAAAACAGGGACAGGAGTAGAAAACGTTATCTTGGTGTCATTATTGCTTAAGGGGGTGGTAGGTAAATGATTAAATATGAAGGTTTCTTGCCGTGGATTATTCTGCAAACTGCAGTATTGACATGGGGTTCAGCTATTCAATTGTCTTACACAAAATATCGGGACTCACCAGTACGCATAGCAAAACAGAGATTTAAGTCAGTTTATTCACCACAACACGCCAGTTGCTTAATGGCTGGTACTAGAGCTCGTGCCTGATGTACGTGAAGAATTTTGTCAATTTAATTCGATTTTTCGACAGGATTGTCAAGATCATATCTTTGATCCTATGAAATCTTATGTCCTGCTTTCTTGATTGAAAATCTGCATTTCTTTTCCTCTTGTAATATTTTAAGGCAGTGGCCGATGTTAGAAATGTCTAAATGAATTCTTTACTGCCTTCACAAATGCTACATATCAACATCCACTTCGGTATTCATTTAGGAGATCATTAAATTAAAGGTTCTTTTTGTTCACCTTCGTTACAAAAGGATCCCTTGACTTTATACAAGTATAGTCCTATATACACTGCTATATATCCAATTATTGTGGGGTTTCTATAATTGATAAGATTTTCATCCTACATGAAAGATGGATTCATTGCTTTCACAGTCCTCTATGAATATACGAATCCTGATTCTTTTTCTTTGTCTGATATTGGTCTGCAGGTGTACAAAATTGGAACTGACTGACAAAAAAGGAGAAATGAAAGCAAGTGCATTCTGAGAAAGCAAAAGAATCAGTCAACCAGAAAGGCTAGGAAACATTGACTTGTCTTGCAGTAATAACGTTGCCCCTATTTCTAGTAATACTAGCTAGTGATCAACATGGTGCGCGGCAACTAGCAAGATGAACAGATGATAGTGGTTATGCCCCACGTCTAAAACTTACTACATAAGCAGTAGATGATTAGGAAATAGGAAAATTCGTAGAGACAATACCTCCTAATCTCAGTTGTAGTTTTTGTAAATTCATTCATGAAAAGGCTGAAAATTCTTGGAGACAATATCTCTTGTTTTAGGAATTTGACAAAGCTTCTTTTGGTTGAAAGTGTTAGGATCGAAAAAAAGCACGTGTCAACAAATCTTGAACGATGGTAAGTCCAACAATAAAAGAGAAATTTATCAAAAGAGGCACAAACATGTAACGTGGTTTGATTAACTGACCTACATTCACGGTGAAAATGAGCAATCCACTGTAATAAAAAAGTACAAAATATCGAGAGAACAGCCTCACGAAAAGGCAAACACAAGTGACATACTAACACTTATCCTGTAAAATTCTCCCTCTAAACATGACTCTCAAACCCCATATGACTATATTGTGAATGCTACTGAACGAGAAAGACGGATCTTCAATTTATACTGGACAAACACGTAACAGAAAGCACAGTATTTCTTGATTTTCTCTCCTCAACTGACTCGAAAATGGATTCCAAGAACCAATATTTAGATGACCCATAAAAAACAAATATTTCAAGGAGAACAACCACACCCACTACCCCTTGTCACACGCCGCACGCCTTGACAAGCATCGATAGGTGAAGCTTTTAGCCACTATAATAGAAAATAATACTGTAAGGGGTCGTTTAGTTAGAATACATATCGATATAAGTTATGCCGGTATAAGTTATATTAGGATAAATTATGTTGGAATTGTTGTTTATTCTTTGTTTGATATGTTGTATTAAAAATAACAATTGCATAATTTTTAAGAAGAAGGTATAAGTTATACCGGTGCTAATTACCCCACCTTCTATAAGGTATAAGTTATCCTCGTGTTAAAATTAACATCGGAATAACTTATACCTGGTTTGCTAACCAAACAGAGTATTAAGGTGGTATTAAATTTGTATACCACCCTTATACCTTCTTATACCTCATACCAAATGACCCCTAAGGACATCTCCAACCTTTACCTCATTTTTGGTCCCCCATTTCGGGGACAACTTACTCCAACCATTCCCCCATTTTTTCCCCAAATTTTTTTATATTCTCTCCTCTCTTCTATATTATATTATTACGTTTCATTTCAATTTTATTTTTTAATTTTCATTAAATAAATTCCATCTTTTATTTTTATTAATTTGTAATTTTCATTAAAATAATTCCATAAAATTTTAAATAATATAATTTGTAAGCAATTATTATATATTAACTAATAATTCAAATAAAAGTGAAATCATTGCGATACAAGATTAATTAAATACATATTACATAACGATAAAATTCATTCGAAATACTATATAAATATTCAACTTCAACCTCTAGTATTCTCCCATAAATGATTTATTACTGCATTACGAAGTGCAAAATAAGCATCTTTGTCCTTAATTCTTCTATGTGCAAAATGAGCATCTTTGAGATAATTATATATTTTTTGTACTATTATAACTTATAATAAAATTAACTTACAATTTTACATAAAAATAATAAATGCATGAAATATACACCACAGTTAAGATGTAAAATTAATATTATAAAGACATTACATAAACATAATTAGGTATTGTTTACCGTGAAAATGGTAACAACAATTAAATTTGTAAATAAGACTCTAAAAATACGTGATCTATTCCCGAGCTAGTTGTTAAAGCAGTTAATGCTAAGAGCGTGAAGTATAAAGATAAAATGCGAGTTAAGGCGAGGCAGTAATCAAACCAAAGGGGCATGTTGCCCGAGCTCGGAGATGGTCGATGGGACCTCGGGGTCGACGTTGGTATCGATCTTGGACTATCGGAGATGGCCAGGGATGGGATAACAGTTAGAGGTATGATAATCAAGGCTCTATATTGCCAATACTAAACGATACGGTGAAGAACAAGTAAGAAAATAGTTAATGCAAAGGAGGTCTCGAACCTGCGAGGATGAACCACTTAGGAGAAAAGAGAGAGAGAGAGATATATATTATTGCACTTGTGGAGAGCTGGAGCAACATCAGCCCCTTACAAGGTGGGGCAAGTCCCCTTTATATAGGAGGGGAGACTCGGTTACAAGTACGTGGGGATCAGCTACAAAGTACGGTGATGGGATGGCTTGACATGATACTTCAGCATAGGCTCGGAATAGGCCGGGCCTGTCAGATGTAGCCATGTGCCTAGAGGACTTCTCCCTCTGTCCTTGCTACGTTCGTCGTTTTCTCCGAGTCGGGCTTCGACGAGTCCTGAGATCGAGGATTCGATTGTGATCCCCTGCCCTCGGGGTCCCGAGGCATGCTCCCGAAATGTCTTATCGGCGAGAAATCAAGTCTTCTGATTTCGCCGCGTACAGATAGTCTCCGCATTTCCCATAACGAAGTGATGGGAAATGATTCTGACACTTGACTCCTCGAGCTTCTTTCGGCGATGCCACATCGATGATACGACTCCTGGCTCATGCTTTTCGACCTCATTCATTGCACTCTTTGATTTATGCTTCCCAGCACAAGTACCTCCGCCGGTTCAGTTTTTCATAGATGCATTAATTGCGCCCGTCGGTCAGTCTTCTAAAGCATAGATGACCATGTCGTAATCCCCTATAAATGGGGGATGACTTGGCTTTGTTTCTCCTATCTCAATGCTTCCGCTGGCCTGCTTGCTGTTTCCTTCCTCTTGTTTTCTTCCACCCTTGAACATCATGTTACGGGCTTATGATTTTAAGGCCATTTAGAGAAGTTCCCTCAGACTGCATTGTGGCTCCCTGTCGGGGTCTCCCTTCGTCAAACATAAGCATATTGTCCCGCTGTTGCTGTGGTCGTTGGTATACTAGCCCTTGTTGCTGCTACTAGCCCGAGGTGATGGGGGACCGAGAGTCGACTTCCTTTTTATGTAGACAGCCGTTCGGATTATCCACCACTGCTCACTCTCCTACCCAGGCCTGGTGCGGCACTTNGGTTGTTAACAAGTTCACTATGGTTGCTGCTGTTGGCCCGAGATGATGGTAGACGGGGAGTCGATTTCCCCTTCATGTAGACAATCGTTCGGATTATACACTGCTGCTCCCTCTTCTACCCAGCCTGGTGTGGCACTTCATCCCTAGGGTTTTTTCTTTCCCAATATATAAAGTGGCACTACCGGCCGTTAAGGCTGGGGCCCGCCGAATCTTTAACCTTTGGCTTCAGCGGGCCATGTCTCTTTTCTCTGCCTCCTCTACATCCCATCCTTTTCCTCTTCTTCGTCTTCTCCGATGGGGATCCCTCGGGGGATTGAGCTAGGAACCTATGGGATGTGGAGATCGAAGGAGTCCCCCTCGAGGACACGTGCTCGAGGGTGCGGCGCCCGAGGATGCTGATATCGGAGATGGATCCTCGAGGGCGGACCGGTCGTCCAGGTTTCATCACATGTTCATCCTTCCATTCCTCCGCTTTAGGTGTAGACTCCTGCAGGCTTTTATAATTGTATGTAACAACCCCCTGAGGGTTGCTTGTATGCAAATTTTTATGAATAAGAATATACTTTGTTGATTTCTACCTTCCTTACTTTGCTTTGCTTTTGTATACTCCCATGCCCTTCGAGGCCCCTCGAATGCCTTCCTTTGTTTGTTGACTGCTGATATCTGACTTGAGCGCGGGCGCTCATTCTGATCTTGCGCTGATCGACACGACTTTTCTCCGACCCCTCGTCGCACTTAGGACCAATCTTGGATTGATTCCGATAGCTCCGGGCTACCTAGGCCCTTCGAATTGTTTGGAGATCATGCGTCGAATTCCGGGGGCCTTCGGGGATGTTATCCCGAATGAAGGTCATCTATGGGTACCCAGGGGTCCCTATTGACCTTGATGTAAGTAACCCTTTTAGGATGAATATGGTTGACTTCCACTGGGGAGTTTTACTCGTATTTGGGCGCTTCCTCGGACCTTCGTGGAGCTTTCACGATAGGAGCTTCCCACGTTTACTCCTATTTTAGAAAAGAGGGGGTAACGAGACTAGGTACTTGCCTTGCGTTGAGTGTCGGCGTTTTAAAGTTTACCGAGGTCCGACTTCTTTGGGCCGGGGTTTTTTGACATAGAGTGCTGCTCCGAGCATGGACATAATACGAACAACCCCTTGAGTCTTGACTCCTCGTTGGGGGATGCTCTCTGGATCGGATATCGACCCGTCAATTTGTATCGAGGCTATTGGATTTCTGGGGCTTGCCTTGGGCATGCGAATCGTCGCTGCTTCTCGCATATATGCGGGCCAGCTTCCGCTCCCTGGCATGACTTCACTACTTTTAGATAGTTGCTTTTCTGCTTTGGCACAGGATACTTCATCTCTCTAGGCGCAGAAAATATTGGCGCGCGCCCTTGCCTTGACTAGTTAGTTTCACCATAGTCATGGGAGCTACTTCAGGGCCGATTCAGCAGGTGACGGGAGGGGGGGGGGGGGGGAGGAGGGAGCGCGCTACTCCTGGTGCTCAGGAAGCGAGGGATTTCGTTCTGGAGACGGCGTCCTTGATAAGAGAGGAACACCTAGAGATGGAGAGGAGATACTGCGGCTGGAGCGAGGGGGTGACACTGCAGGTGCTTTTCCCAGATGAGGCCATCGGGGACTCCACTGATGGGTTCTTGAGCGTATACCTATACCCTTTCGTATTTGGCCCCCTTGACAGGGTTGTGCTTGATTTTTACTTGATGTATCGGGTCACCCTGGCACAGATCCATCCGTCATTTGGCGAACGGCGCTGATGATGAGATTTTTCACGGAGAAGGCTAGGCTCGAATTTAAGCTTGACCACCTTGTCAGGCTATATCGGCCCTTTCATCATTGAGGCCTGCTAACTCTGAGGTGTCATTCGTCCACGCCCTTCGTTGTTGACGACGAGGATGCCGGGTATCGAGAGTAGGATAATTGGTTTATCTGGTTCCGGACGACCGATATTATCCCTGTGAAATTTTTGCCATTTCCTGAAGGGTGGAATTATGCAAATGAGTGAGGCGTTTTGGCGCTTTTTCAGATTCCACACATAGCAAAAATTAGCTGAATGATAATGTTGCTTCCCTTTCTGCAGCAACTTCGTGGATGCCGGGTGAGGTTCATGACCTGCCCGGCTGGGTCCGGAGGCTGGTGACCTATTCA